TTAATACTAACTATATATATATATATATATATATATATATATATATATATATTGCCTTTTAAAGCTCACTCTTTAAAATATTACTTATAATTTTCTCAGTGTTCTACAGAAAACTCTATAAACAATAAATTTTATATATGTATTAGTATTATTATGATATTTATTATATCATGTGATACAGCATTACTGATGAGCATCCAAAAATAAAAAATTCTCCGTTGCATAATTCAAAGTAATTTCTTTTCTCTCTCTCTCTCTCTTTCAATTGCGATTTAGTTTCAGATATAATCAATTCTCGATAATTACAATTTTTCCCTCGTAAGAAAATCTTTATGGATGAAGAATTGAAGATCAAGCCGACATTAAAGCGTTGAAATATTCGATTTTCTTAATTAAGATCCCGTTTGTGACGGAAGAGTGAGCACGGTGTTTACGGTTTATTAACATTACGACGGAGACTTTGTTGTTGCTTTCCGTAGCACTTGACAAAAAAGATGCCGCCTGGAGGGCCTCGAAAGGCCAGATCGGCTTATTGCCGCGCCTAATGAGAAGTTGATTTAGTTTTAATAGGTCGCATTGCCCGTCGCCACGGTAATTACATTGCAGAACTGACGCGATGTCATCCTCGTTGACGCATGAACCTATGGCGATTGATCAATTTGCACTTTACCGTGACGAACGGCATTATCCCGTGAAGAAAAATGGAAAAGTTAGCGAAATTAAGACTCAAAAAGCACTGAGATGTGTAAAAGAAGTTGCATAAAACTTGTATGAGAATTAAGTAACAAAATTCAAATGATAATAACATATTCATCAATATTACATGTATTATTATATTCATATTCTTGTAAACAAGAAAAGACTAGCGTAATAAAATTATCTTCTTTTGCATAGTCTTGCATTAATCGTTTTTCTTTTGTGTATCTATTTAATCGTTTTTCTTTAAACGTAATTGTACATAGATTTTTTTTAGTTCAAATAAATTAATTTTTCAATTTTTTAACTGCAGAACAAGTTCGATAAGTATCGCTCATGAGCAAATTAATCTAGTCAAGATTAGAATAATATGACAACAAAAAGAGAATAAAATATGCTAGACAGCTTGACGTTGCATCTCAATAAGAAGCAAGAGGCTCGTACGAAGATCGCGAGAAAATAACTATGTTTACGAAGAGGCGAGTAAAAAGGATCCAGGAATGTGCGCGAGAGTCGGAAAAGAGAATCTGAGAATGGAATGTAGTGAAACACGTAGGGAGAGAGTGATGAGGAAATATTAACTCCTTGAGTTCTTTCTTAATCTTTTTCTTAAACAAACGATATTTATTTCAGTTTATTGTAACATATGTAATATCTGAGTAGCTCAAAATAAAAATGTTTCGTTC